GGTCAAGAAGGTGAGTACAGTAAACCTCGGCCTCGTCAAATTTCTTCCGAGCCTTAAAGTGTCGCGCTAAATACATCAAAGCTTCGACAATGTTCGGCCCTTCTCTCTCCTCACCCTCCATCCTCTCCAAATCCTTCCTGTAATAAAATGATGCCTCGTCAGCTCGTCCTAGTTCTCAATGAAGCCTCGCCAGCTGGCCCAAAGCAATAGCTTCCCTGTCATTACAATCAACCGCCCGTCCATAGCACTTAATTACCTCCTGATGGAGACGAGGCTGCCTTGGCATATTTGGATAAATTTGATCGACTTCGGATTTAGTTCTTTATTTATTTTATTTTCCTTTCCTTTTATTTATGCATTTTCCTTATTTCCTATTTTAATTTAGGTAAGAAAATAAATGCCTTGCAGTTGTTTGACAAGGTAGGACTCTCTTTTCTATTTATTAGCTGATGTGAGATGGAAGAAGACGATTGAAAATTTTATGAAATTATCTGGTGTTCTACGTTCACGAGAGAGTATCTCGTTCTTCCCTGTTTACATATCACGTTCTACATCAGTTGGTATCCAGAGACCAGCAACGATCCGCGATGCCGCCTAAGCGAAATCAGGTCGTACTCGACCCCGCCATTGAGGAGCGATTCCAGCGGATGGATGATCGCTTTGACGGGATGGTCGAACGATTTACGGATTTCTCGGCCGGGATGGAGGAGCTGCGTGAGGAGATGCGAACTATGATGAACGAGATCCGTACGAACCGCGTTGCCGGCGACCGGGGCACGCGTGGAGGGGCTCGCGGGGGACGTGGAGGACGCGGCTTTGGCGGGGCGCCCCGCAACCGTTCACCACAGAACCTGTCCGGCGACGACGAGGACGAGGATACGCCGACCGTGGACAACCCGTTCGCGGCTGGGAGGCGTAGGAGAGCGGCGGGGTACGATGATGGCCATCCCGAGCGTTTCGACAATGATTTTGGGGATGACGACGAGTTTGGCCAGCGTCGCGCGTGGGGTCGGGGTGATGAGTCGCCGCGACGGAATGAGGGTTTCGTTGAAGGTCTGGGCGGCGATAGATGGGGTCGAGACCGGCGTGACGGCAGGCGCCCGATAGAAGGGGGCGATGGGTCACGTTGGGATCACGGGTTTCGTGTGGATCTTCCGGAATTTGCGG